GTTTTTCAAGACAGGGTTTCTCTGTAGCTTTGGAGCCTGTCCTGGAACTAGCTCTGTAGACCAGGCTGGTCTCGAACTCACAGAGATCCGCCTGCCTCTGCCTCCCGAGTGCTGGGATTAAAGGTGTGCGCCACCATCGCCCGGCTAAGTGTTGATGATTGATCAGAATTTATAAAAACGAGTAAATGCCGCTTCCTCCTCGCAGGTGTTTACAGCCTGAGACTGCCTGCCCGCCCACGGAGACTCGGGGAGACTAGCTATGCCTTCCCCCTGTGTTGTACGTAATAAACACATGACGAGGTTCCTGCAGGCTGCGGCAGGTGTCCTCTATCCGTGTGTGCACACCCACCCCGGACCCCAGCTTTCCTCCATGTGTGTCTGCCCCTTCTTCCTTCCCTTGCCACCGCTGGTCAGGACTCCAGGGGCCAAGCTTCAAGAGTCCTGAAATGGGTAGGAGGAGAGAGGCTGAGGTGGGTGCTCAGGGTGGCCAAGGTAGGGGGGGTGAAGACGAGAGGAGCCCTGGGAACTCATTTTGAGACTTGCTGGCTTAAATGCAGGCACGTGTGAAGTAGACCTGGAAGGCAGGGGCTGTGGGATTCCCACGAGGGCTTCTGAAGATGGTAAAGTGTAGGATATAGGCAGGGGTGGGGAGTAGGGGACAGTTTAGCAGGCCCTTGGTCATGATCAGCTCTGAGAACCTGCAGAAGGCCCCAAGGTAGGTCCACTGTGCCCCCTAGTGGTGATACCTAGAATGACAGCCTTACTAATTAGCTGCGTGGACTCGACTCTATGCACATGTCTCTAGGGACAGGGCTTATTCCAAGAATCACAGATCTCAAAAATAAAGTAGTTATTATAGTTAGTTTCTTTACTGACAGATAATTCATATAAGAGTGTCGTTTTCAAATACTTCAGAGAAGTGGTCAGAGAGATGCCTCTGGGTAAAGATGCTGGTCACCAAGCCTGATGACCTGAGTTTAGTCCCTAGAATCCACTTGGAGGAGAGAACCCGGACCCCCACATGCACACCTGTGCTAAACACACAGGTATAAAATAAATATAAATTCTTAAGAAATGAATAAAGTATTTCAGAGAATGTTAAAAAAAAAATCACTCACCCTGGCTGCTCCCTTGTTGGTGGGCCCGACCCCTTCCCTGCCTCCCTGTCAGTGTGTCCACTCCCACCTGGAGCTCATCTGCCAACAAGCCTTTACTAGCTCCACGAAAGCGAGGAGCATGGTCTCTTATTCGGTGGATTGCACCTGGCAGACAGTGGGGACTCGATCATTTCCAGGTGCTAACAGCTAAGTTCTGGCTTCGGGCCTCACCGAATGCTTCCTCACCACAAGTGCAGTCCAGCGCGGCTCTACCTGGCCTCGGCTCAGCACACCTGTGACACTGATGGTCCAGGCCAGGCAGGGGTCTGGTTGTGCTAGGTGTGCTGGTCACACTCGGTCACTTCTGTGTGAAGTCAGGGAAGACGTCCATGGGGCCAACTGAACCCATCTGCACAGCTGAGCACTTGAGCAGAAACTGCCCAGGGACCCAGTGCCTGTCGCTAACAGTGCTGACCTTGACCTTGGGGGTCTCTCATAAGTTTGCTCCCCTCTCAGTTACCTGTGGTGTGTGGCAGACATGAGAAAGGACAAAACCCAGGCAGCAGGTCACGCCTAAGCTCAAGTTCCGCTTGTGGACACGGGACATTCCGGAACATCTAAGGACATCCAGGCCACATGATGGGTAGGGCCTCAAGTGGGTGCAGGTTCTGGGGGTACCATTCTCCTTTGGGGTGCTCAGAGGCCATTGTACCCTTATGCTCAGCTGGCATAGCTCAGCAAGGGGACAAGCAGCTGCCAGCCTAAAACATGATGGGGCGGAAGCTTCCTCTCTAGAAGTAAACCTGAGCTCCCTGCCCACCAGACACCCAATGGACGTGGCTTACCAAATGAAGATTTTTCAGTAGACTGCAGATCTCTAGCTGGAGAAAAGCAGACAAGTGGGGAGCGGCACCAACAGACTCTGCCCAGGGGATGCCCAGAAGGCCAAGAGGGCAGAGAGGTGACTAACAGCAGCAAGCACCTCAGGAGACACCACCAGCCCCAGTTGCAATCCCGAGTAGTGAATGTTACATGGTGCATCTACCAATCACGGTGGGAGAAATACTGAGTGCCCTCTGGGCTCTGCTGGAAAAGCCAGTCTAGCAGCCTACAGCTGGTGCGGTGCTGGAGCACGGGAGACCCACGAGGACGCAAGGATGCTCATTAGTGCCTACGTCAGCCAACTCAGTACAGCCAGGTGGGCCAACGGGCCAACAGAAGGCTGAAGCAAAAATATCCAGAAGCTGGATGGGGAAGGCTGAGCAGAGCAACACACGTCACAGGACAGGGATGTCATTCTGGGTGGCCTTGGGTGGACTAGACAGGCAGGAAGCAGGGGCTTTGGGTGGATGGTGTCGGTTCTGTATGTCTACTGTGGAAACTCACTTAAGGGAAGCTGTATACATTTATGAAGCTTCAAGAGGTTCACCTCTGGGGAGTCAGGAGGTCAGACCCAGGGGTAGGCTCTTCAGGTAACCCAGGAGGGGGCTACCTGGCCCGCAGTGCAGGGATCATGAGTGTATGCCATAGGTCCTGGTAAGAGGTCTCAGACCACCAAGAATCATAGTCTCTGGTGGAATCAGTCTGAGAAGCAGCAAGGGCCATTCTCCCTGTGGCTGTGTGTGTGAGTGTGTGTGTGAAGAAGGGTACCGGGAGACGGCAGACATCCTGCTACGGAGGCTCCCTGCCTGGCCTAACTCCGCTTCTGCCCAGCATCTGACATAACTGAGCTAAGGAGTCTTACAGTGCAGTGCTGCAGTCACTGCTACCAAAGCCAAGGAACCCTCAGGCTGCCTGGCTGTCCAGAAGAGAATGTTCTGGAACAGATGAAGTGTGCTCAGACCTCCACTAGACCACTCTGACACTTTTCCTTAAGGGAACAAGTGCAGAGGGCAGCATCAGGGCACCACTGCCCTTCACTTTTCCTTCTTTACCCAGGTCCCACAATCTCACAGCTTGGGGCAGCTTCCTAGACCCGGCAGCAGGCCAGCACACGGAGGCCCACTCCTGGGGACTTCCCCGTTTCCCTGAGACTCATCGAAACCTCACAGTATGGGTACCATTCACTAGTTTCAGAAGGCCTGAGACACAGCTGAAAGTAGTTTCCAGTGTGGAAAGGAGTTTATTCTGTGGCTGCAGGGACTGCCTGCTACAGAATTCCCCTGGCTTTAGTTAGCCTGTGTTTACTTTGGGTGCGAGAACGTTTCTTTATCCACAAACAAGGTCTGTCTGGTTATCACACGGTGGTCTGATAATGAAAACCTAAAATGTTTTCTTCTTTTAGAACTTGAGTCCCCCGTCCATCTGACCTAGGATTGTAGAATGTAAGTGCTTCAAGGAGATCCTTCCAATGGGGACACACAGAGAGGCAGGCCCCCACTGCTGATGCTCCCTATGCTATTGGAGCCCATGGAGGAGCTCTGAGCTTCTTGCTGGTAGAAGGAGCTGGGTCGAGCCCATCATGGATGGAGGCAAAGCTCCTTCTTCAGGCAGAAAGCAACTATTCTTCTAACAAAAAGGCAACTCTTGTCCTTGCTGAATGGAGCCCAGGCAGTGCTACTTTCCTGTGAGTTCCAGTACCTTCTTCACCATAGCCCCAATCCCGTCGTGGATGTGATGGAGTGCTGTCTCGCACATGAAGGCCGGGGTCGTGACCACCTTGTTTTTCTGGTCTACATGAGCTTCGTGCGCAGCTGTTAGGGAAAACACAGCACCGGGCAGGACCACAGGGAATTGCGGGGAAGAGGCCCACCTGCTCTGTCTTGCAGCTCCTTAAGGACACCACGGTACCAAGTCTGCACCTGCTGTACTGCTGTCACCCAACTAAACAAGGGGGACTAGCTCCCAACTCATAGGTACGCAAGAGAAAGAAAACGTGACCTACTGGGGTGGGGGGCACTACCTGATAACAGCCTGCATGCTGGCCCCACATGGCAGGGGGAGGTAAAACTCACCCTAGCTAGGCCCCCGCAGGCTTCAGCAGTGGAAACTGAGGGGCCCGCTAGAGCAAGCCAGGAGCCCTGCTCACTTCTCCCACACTGGTCTTATTTCCTTCTGTGGTCACCAGCAACAGTTCCTAATCCTCCAGGTCCCAGAGTCCTGCCCTAGCCTGCACTCCTCATAGGCCACCTAACCTTGTGGGGACCAGGCATTGCAGCTGTATACTCCAGGCTGACATGCAGAAATACGGATCTCCTGGCCAGCTGTGGAGGCAGTGTTCCACCAGCCTGTCTGTGGCATACCAAGCTAGCTCCACCCCTCAACACGGGTAGGCCCTGTCCTCCTGCCAGGGGCTGCCTTGAAGTAAGCCCAGCAACCATAATCCCTGTCCGCCACAGACACCTTCAATGACCAAATGAATGACACCAATGTGCTACCTGATACCACACTGACCGACCACCAGAAAGGATATGGTCACGCCCTTCACACAGTGCTTGGCTCCCAGGGCTTTGATGGCTTCTGCAGTTCCAGCGTAAGGCCACTTGCCACCTTCCTCTTGCTCGTGGCCCACGGTGACCTCGACACCTTTGATCACTTTGGCTGCTAGGACAGGCGCGATGCAGCACAAGCTGAAAGTTGAAGGAGCTGCGTCAGCACGGGGAGCACGCTGAGAGCGAGGACTGAGGATGTCTGGTCCCCAGGCGCTGCTGCTTGGGAGCCTTGCCCCAGGCTTGTGGCACTGGGCAGCCCTGGGCACAGATGGCTGCGAGGGAAGCTGAGGGGTCAGGGAAGCCAAACTCTGCACTGCCATCTGGTGGCCCACTGTCTATAGCAGCGGCTTTAAACCAGGGATTGGGGTGGGGTGGACCGAACCTTTTTCACAGGGCTTGCACATCAGATATTTACACTATGATTGTTAACAGTGGCAAAATTATAGTTATAAAGTAGCAACGAAATAATTTTATGGTTGGAGGTCACCACAACTTGAGTACTTGTATTAAAGGGTCGTAGTATTAGGAAGGTTGAGGATCACTGGTGTAGAGTGCCTAGTGTAGCTAACAGCCCTGCATAACTTCATGACCTTCAAAAGTGAGCTGCCCTGGCTGGGCATGGTGGCACAGGTGGTAATCCCAGCACTTAGTAGGCAGATGGATCTCTGCGAGTTCAATCAAGGCCAGCTTGGTCTGCATAGTGAGTTCCAGGCCAGTCAAAGCTGGTAAGACTCAAAACCAAAGTGAGCAGCCCTGACACACAGGATGTTGGCAGCTGGGCCTAGTGAACATGGGCTGGGCTCACATGGCTACCCTACCTAGGGGCCATTCCCACTTCTACCACACTCCCAGGCCGTCGCTGGTCTTACTGGGTTCCAGGTGATGGAGCCATCATACCAAGAGCTGGCAATGTGCCAGGAACTCCCACAACCCTCTCACATACTCCTGAACCCCTGTGCATCACCTACCCGATGGGCTTCTGGGCCCCGTGGAACTCCTTTAGGACGCGCTCTACTTCCTTGTTAACCGTGCAGTCCTTCCCATCCACGGCGAACGTGCTCCTGCCACGAGAGGAGAGGCTCTGCTCAGTGGTGGCCCCATAGTCTCCGGGTGGCCCGCTGGACAGCAGTGTGTCCCAGCGTGGCCACATGCCAGGTGGGCAGTCTATCACACTGAATGCCTAACTGTGTATCTAGCTTCTCATTCACCAGCCAGCAGGGGGAAGGCAAGAGGTGGGTGGACAGTCTGTGACTACTCTGCCTTCAAGATCCAGGGGCAGCAGACCAAAACCAAAATCTCAAAAAGAGGGTTCTAGATAAAGAAACATAATTAGCCTAAGAGTAGCAGCCGACACATAGACAGGAGCACAAAGGTCAGGGCAGCTGAGCAGTTAGGAGTTCCTACAATACCCTTAGAGGATGCAACATGGCACTTGGCAACCTGGCACTTGGCACACGTGTGCGCCTTTCTGCCAGAACACAGCTTCTGGATCCTCCCGTGCCATGGCCTGCAGATCTGGCTCTAAGGAACCAGCTCACTAACAGGTGTTGACTCTTGTCAGTCAAACTCACCAAGTCTTTCCACCCTTTAAATTCTTAACTCTAACACGTGTGCACTCACCACTCCCCCGCCCCTTTTATGATGCCTTAAAAACAAGCAAGGCTACAGGAAGTCACCTGAGCCACCAAGGTGACAAAAAACATGACTCACAGCACCTTGGCCACCTTGTGGCGTCTATGCCACCGCTGAACAGTTTTCAGCTCAGCTGCAGACCACAGGTAAGTACATCAGGCAAAGCAAGAACAAGCACCTAACACGCTATTGGCAGTGATGAGCTCGCCCATACACGTGGGGCTTCTCTAGGAGCTACACAATGATGGCAGCAGTGCCTGGAGCGACTGGATTCCCACTGTAGCCCGATGCTACTCCTTTACCCTGACCGTGTGTCCACACGAAGCCCGTCACCTGTCATGCCAAAGGCTAGCAGGCCAGCCACCCATGACCTCACACTGCTGAGCCTCAGTCATTTTTCACTACATGTGCACACTAAGGCTTAGCCACCTGCTGCCACATATGCGTGCTACATTTCAATGATACCAGCCCGGGGGTCTCAGGGGTTCAAAGCAGCGTCAACGAGGGCCTGCCATTCTTCCGCAAAGGTCTTTAAAAAGGAAAATGGCAGCTACCTCACAGGGGCTAGTGGGCTCAGGCACAGGCACTGAGGCTCAGATTCCTAAATCTCCATGGACTCACATGTGCTTGTTCTTGCTTTGCCTGATGTACTTACCTGTGGTCTGCAGCTGAGCTGAAAACTGTTCAGCGGTGGCATAGACGCCACATGGTGGCCAAGGTGCTGTGAGTCACCACCTCACATGCTCCCAAGCCCACTCTCCCAAGTGAGCAAGACGGCCCAGCTGTGCTGGCAGACACAGCTTCTGGACAATCTTCCACCAGGCAGGAGTTAACAGGCAGAAGTAAGGAACACAGACCAGCCTTCCGAGAAACAGTGGTCCGGGTGAAGGGAAAAGAATCCAGTGATACCCATGACCTGCATTGCCACTGTGAGGATGGAGCACACAGGCCGTCGGTTAGGGCTGGTACCTCCAGAATCACTGGTTTCAGGGTGGAGTGGGTGGGTGCTACCAAAGAGCCTGGTGGTGTGCAGAATCTGGAGAAAGGGACGTTTTGATGACCCAACAAAGCAGTCATAGGGTTCAGATTAAGAAAGGTGGATTGGAGCCAGGTGGTGGTAGCACACCTTTAATCGTGCCTATCGCAGTACTCGGGAGGCAGAGACAGATGGATCTCTGTGAGTTCAAGGCCAGCGAGTGCCAGGACAGCCAGGACTACACAGAGAAACCCTGTGTCGAAAAACAAAACCAAAACAAACAATGGTAGATGGGTGACACTTCAGAGCATGAAGCCCTGTGTCCTTCCTGTCTGGGAGCAGGACGTCCAATGAAATTCCTGGGGATACTGCTCAAGGCTCTCCCTGACAATGAGCCGGGTGGTCACCTCTCAAACAGGTCGTGTCGAGGCTAGACCCACAGAAGCTTCCACGAATGCTCAAGAGAAAACCACCTAGAGCTGTGAAAAGGACTCCAACTCATCTCGCCTTGAGTTTATTTACTATTTCCCACGGCAACAACCCAGATGGCAAAGGACAAAAGGCCTCCACCTTTCCTGCCTCCACAGTGTGAGAGGGTGTCTTGCTTACGGCTCTACTGCTGTGAAGGGACGCTATGAGCAAAGCAACTCAGAGAAGAAGACATTTTTATGGTTTCAGAGGGTTAGTCCACAACAAGCATGGCATGAAGCATGGCAGCAGGCAGGCATGGCACTGGGGCAGTAGCTAAGAGCTTACACCTGATCTGCAAGTTGGCAGGCAGAGAGAGAGAGACAGACAGAGAGACTGACGACTACATGGGCTTGGTGTGAACATTTGAAACTTCGAGGCCTACTCCCTTTGATAACTTTCTCCAACCACACCACACCTCCTAACTCTTCCAAAGGATTCTACCAAATAGGGACCAAGCATTCAATCACATGAGCCTAGGGCCACTGCCATTCAAACCACCACGGAAGGACAGCTCTGTGTGAGAATTGACACTTGAAAGGACAAGCCAGCAGAGTTTGCTGAGACCTGATTCACAGCATGGAGGTCAATAAGACTGTCCAACCCACCCAGAGAGCTTCCAGGCACTGGCGTGCTCCTAGGAAGAAGTAGAGAACCCCCTGCTGGTCTTGCTAAAGTGACCCCAGCCCACCCCTTGTAAAAGAGCTGGCACTACTGTGGTCTAGACCCTTATACTTGGACACGCACAGGTTTTTGGCAGCTCCAAAGCCTCCAGGAAAAATGGCGGCATCATGGTTGGCAGCTTTGAGCTGGGCCAGGCTGGTGATCTTGCCTCGGGCAATCCTTGCTGATTCTGCCAAAACATTCCTGGAAAGAACAGAGAAAGAGCAAAGGATGAGGGCATAGGCAGGGCCAGGACACAGGCACCACTGGGGACTTTTCTTGGACATGGCTCAAGAAATGATTAGGCTCACACATGGAGACTGAATTCTCCCCGATTCGCACATCCAGGCAACATCTGGAGACAGTGACAGGGTTCTAGTGACCTACAAAAACAAGCCTTGCAGGCTGGCCTCAGGATCCACACTAGGTTACCTGGAATCAGGGGTCAGTAGGAACTGGAGGCCCACCAAGTATCCACAGCAGGCAGGATTCAGTGCTCCTCACCGGAGGGGGGTAGTGTAGGAAACTACTTTTAAAGGATTCCTGAAGCCACCTGAACATCAGACACAGCAGGAAGCTACCGCTGCCTCACTTGGGCTTATACAACGCGGGCAGATTCAGGGGCCTGGGGCCTGGACAGAGAAGGAAATGGCTGGGATCCCAACAGACAGCCTGAGCAGTTAAAAGTTTCTCTCCCTACTCTTTCAGTCTCAGCCCTCAGGCCACCTTGCAACCAGGCCTCAGATAAGAAATGTAGTTGTGGCCAGGTGGTGGTGGTGTACACTTTTAATCCTAGCACTCTCGAGGCAGAGGCAGGCAGATCTCTGAGTTTGAGGCCGGCCTGGTCTACAGAGCTAGTTCCAGGACAGCTAAGACTGTTACACAGAGAAACCCTGTCTAGAAAAACCAAAACAACAACAAAAACGTAGCTGTGCTGGGCATGGTGGCACACGCCTTTAATCTCAGTATCTGGGAGGAAGAGGCAGGTAACTTTCTTATGAATTCAAGGCTAGACTGGTCTACATAGTGAGTTCCAGGCCTGTTAGAGCCAAATAGACCCTGTCTCAAAAAGCCAAAACCCAAACCAAATAAAAAAAAAAGTAGCTGTAAATTAGCTAGAGGGACACAACACAGAGCCACACAATGACGAGCAAGAACACAGCACGACCACCTCACATCCAGAGGGAGGACAACAGCGGCTACTGCCATTCCTGCAATGCTCGCCGGGAGGTCAGAACCACTGTGCCCATGGCCGCGCATTTCCAGTGAAGAACACATGCTTCATCGCATAACCTAGAAGGCTGCAGGACAGAAGCTGAGGTGGGAAGAGGGGTCCTGAAGGGTCCGTCACCTACCCCATACCTGCTTTCGCCCTCAGAGGGCTGTCCCTTGGTGTGGTCAATCACATGCATCTGAGGGACATCAGGAGCAAAGATCTGGACCTCAGCCCCGCCTCGGCTCAGGTGGACCAGGATCCTACGTGGAGAAAATCCACCATGGTGTCACTTCCAAATGTGTCCTGCAGACTCATTTAACAAATGAACTTTCACCAAGTGCAGGATGTGAGGGGGGGGGGATTCCTAATTTGTAGGACACCTTGTTGCTTTTTATAAACCAGTTCCCACCACTAATAGACCTCTGAGAGGGGAGGTTGGAACCGGAGCATGTAGGCAGGTGCGCCAAGCGGTCTCTACAATTCCTTTTACCGACTGGTGAGCAGCGGCGGTTGCTGACTCAGCAGATGCTGCATTTTGGGTATGTTCTGGGCCCCAGGCTGCTGCCAGGCACTTTGCTTTCACCCAGTGCCCAGGAGGCATCTTTTAGTCTTGCCTGTGCTAACTGTGGGCTTGAACTTAACACGATGCGAACCCACTGTATGTGGTTATGCTTCTGCCGTTTAAACCAAGGGAGTGTTTACGAACTTTGAGGACTTACGCAGAGGCCTCGTGGATCTCGGTTCCGTCATAGACACCGCAGCCCGACAGCACCTGCAGGAGGAGAGGCACTGACGAGGGCGAAGGGCCCGGTAGGAAATCACCAAGGGGAGAGGAAGGCTGATTCCCTGCAGGGGCCGACCTTGGGAGGCCAGCTGGGCGTCCCCAGTCTGCGGGGAGTGAGCCAGGGGAGGAGGTTGGCCTGGGAGTCTGTCTGGCCATGCACTCACCAACGCCACCCTGGCCCCGGGCCGCGGTGCGGAGCTGTGAAGGGCAGCGCGCTGGGAGGGATCATGGTGGCGTCCCGGCAGCGGTGCGAGCGCAGAAGCCAGCCTCGGCGCCACTAGAGCCCTGACGGCGGCCATAGCGAAGGACACACAGCAGCGTTGTTGGAGCGCAGTAGGGCGGAGTCGCTCCTGGCCAATGGGAGGAGCGCGCTGCGCGCCCTTTCTGTCCCTGAGGGCCGGTGGGCGGGACCGCGCCTGCGCAGTGGCCAATAGAGCGCCGGAATAGCGGCTAATTGCTCAGAGCCGCCGAGCTCAGAACACGCCGCCCCCACCCCCGACAAAGGATACTGGTAGGCGGGACTGCACCTGCCCAATGCACGGCCACATGTGTGACACGCCTCTTCCCCGGTTTTGAGAGGGCTGGGTAAAGTCTGGGCAGTTGCCAGCTTAGGACTTTGCCGTGAGTGATTTGGTGGCTGGGCCCTGCCTGCCTAGTGCTTGAAGGGCACTCATCGTGGAGTAGGCCGCCCAGATTGCCCACTGCAGCTCCACTCTGTGCAATCACCAAAAATGCCCGTAAACAGCGTAGTTCTCCAAATAATGGGGTCGTCACTGTGCAAACCTAGCTTCTCCCATCACCCAGTGTGCTCTGGATTCCCCTGCAGGTTCCTCACTGGTCATGGTTCTACCAACCACGGTACACTGGCTGCTTCGTTTTCACATTGTTTGTTTTGGAGACAGGGTTTCTCCGTGTAACAGCCCTGGCTGTCCTGAACTCAGTCCATAGACCAGACTGGCCTCGCCCTCACAGAGATCTGCCTGCCTCTGCCTCCTGAGTGCTGGGATTAAAGCTGTGGTGCCTGCATTTGATGGAAGGCTTGTTACAGTCCAGTGTCCATAGCTCCTAAAGTGTGACTGCCGGTCCCTCACCACTGTGGTGAAAGCTGTCAAAGGTGGCTTCTTTCAGCTCCTGGGGGGCGAGCCTTAGCACAGCGTTTGGAAATCAGCTGCCAGTTTTTATCTTAAGATGGCAGCCCTTTCACAATTAGGAGACATACGATGGAGATAGGCCTGGGGAGTAGAGCGTATGTAGAAGCCAGGGAGTGCACAGATGTGGGCGTGGTGGTCCAATATTTATTGGAAGCCGGGGCACAGATACTCAATGGAGTGGCAGCAATTTGCATCTGACCTAGTCCACAGGGGCGGAATGGGCATGGTTACCGAGAAGCAGGCCTGAAAGGCACTCCAAAGGGTGACTGAGCCCTGCTTCTGGTATAGTAATTAAACTTCAAGTTCGCGATGGGTGATGGCTGAAATGTGGCTCGGTAGTACCTGCCTGCCACTCCCCAAGCCCTGTTCCACGTTCAGCACCACACACACACACACACAAATGGTAGGGCTTCAAAAAACTGTATCCACTGCTGCAAACAGAAATCTCAGGAGGGCACTAAAACAAGTGAGGCCCCATTTGGGCAGCCGGGATCCTACCCCTGTACAGGCAAGACGTGAGCTCCCACCCCCATCCCGAGCTACACACAGAAACACTGTGCAGGAACAGGAAACCCGGAGATACCAGGCTCTGGTTTCTCTCCATACCGTGGTCAAGCCTGAGTGTATTTCAGGTGACCAGGACAATGGCGCACCCCGACTGTGACACTAGGTGTCACATAGATCCATTCCTGCGGCCTGGACATAGGCCAATGGGCAGTTTCCGGCATGAGAGTTGGGACCTGTGGGAGACTTCACTGGTGAGCTGACACGCTGGAGTTGGTCAACCGCTGAAGTATCAGTAGAGCGCCCGTCTGGCATGAAGGGCCTGTGCCCTTTCCCGTGTAACCTGTGCACACTGGCACTGATCTGGCATGAAGTGACTGTCCCTCTCCCGTGTAACCTGTGCACACTGGCACTGATCTGGCACGAAGGGACTGTCCCTCTCCCGTGTAACCTGTGCACACTGGCACTGGTCTGGGCAGGCTTCCCTGGCCAGCCTCGAGATGTCACATCCACCCTCCTGCGTCAGCCCAGCACACTTTCTGGCTCACTCCGTATACCTATAGATGACCAGGGCCACAGGCCTGAGAGACAGCCACTCTGGTCTTTCCCGCTTAGCTGAAGACAATGTCTTACCCAGGACACACTATAAACACCAGGAACTCAAAGTTGAGAAGTGAAGTCCTCACATTTTTAAAAAAGCTTTCCAACCCTAAGTTGGGAAAAAAGGTTTCATTCTCAGAAGTCCGTATTAAAAATATAAATAACCGGCAGAAGCTTGCAAGTCCACACTTCTCATTAGTCTATATGCAGGATCACCACAACGCCAGCATTCTGGGCCTACAGCACACACGTGCCCATGGTATGCATCCCAATCCTGGACCTGAAAGGTTGGCTTGCTGCCTCATGGCAGCATGTGCAGTCTCACAGCAAGAGTCCGGCTGCAGGGTTCTGAGGCCTCTGGCATCGCTCACTTTCTGGGCCCCTCTTTCTGGGCTCAGGGGCGCAGTGGTTCCATCTCCAATTAGGCCGTGAGGTGGAGCTTCTACACCAGCATCTCCAGTCAGTCAGGCCGTGAGGTGGGGCTTCTACACCAGCATCCCCTCTTCTTCCTCATCATCCGCAGCCATCCCGAGTAGGTGTAGACTGTCATCATCAGACGCGTCTGTATCCTCTTCTGTGTCTAAAGGCTCCAGAGTGCGCTTTACACCCCGCTGCTTGGAAACTGCCAGAGCGTACTGGATGTTGTAACGGTTCCAGTTACAGCTGGGGACACAGGACATTAGGTCAGCAAAAGCGTCCCACTCTGCCCCCACCAGCAGGACTGGATGCAACTGTTCCCCAAAATTACTCCTCCTCTCTCAGGCTGATTCAGTTCCTGCTGCACCCAGTATAGGGCAGCATCTGGCCTGCTTTCCTTGCTGGCCCTTCCGTTATAGCCTTTACAGAGCCAGGGGCTGACGCTCTACATTCACAGGACTAAGGGGAAGTCTCAGACCTTATCTGCCAGAGCCATGGTTGAGAGCAAAACCTAGCAGAAAGGAAAAGCCGCACCTTGCATTTATGGGTGCCATGGCTATCAAACAGGGCTGCTTCGCAAATGTACACAAAGCTAAAAATGCCTACTATGCCTTGGCAAAACAAACAAACAAACAACCAGGAACAAGGCTTGGAGGAGGAAACGGAGATGTGAGAGCATTCTCTTACAGATCTGTGGAGTCAGGGATGCATCAGCCAGGGAAAGATTAATTAAGCTTAGCCAAGCAGACCACCATACCCTAGCACAAGCACCTCCAACACCAGTCTTCTGGCAGCTAGGCAGGAAAACTGGGCACAAGGAAGAAGGGCTTGCTCTAGATTCAGAAGCACTATAAAGATAATCGGGAGAACTATGGTACCACAGTGCCCAGGTGCCAGCCTCTCTCAGGGACCTGAATGGAGAGACTAGTCGACAGGATATCTCACAGATCACCACAAACCACCTGGAGGAGGAGGCTGAAAAAAGGAAGGACTGACATGGGCTCATTCTAGCTAGCAATGTCCAAGTACTGTATATACTTATATACTTACTCTATCAACACTGCCATACCAGGGAAACCTGCACACACTGGTCAGATCCCAGAAATCAACTCTACCTGGCAGCATGATGCACAGCCACCTCTCATTGCCCAGAGACGATGTGTGAATCCAGGCTAGGCGGCCTGATCCTGCAATTCTGAAGTGGCCATCCCCAGGGTGGCAGGCTCTCACTACATCTCAGGCATATCCTACCTCCACCCGACCAACTGTGCAAGTGCTCGTGTGTCCTCACTTTAACGTCAGACAGCCAGAGGTGATCATCACACTCAGATCACAGTTTACCCAGCAGAGCAGAACGTGCACTGTGACACCAGAGTATTCTGTCCCCAAATCAGACAGCACAGGGAGCAATCCTGACTAGTATCAGCCTCACGAGCCCTACCCTGCCCTGCCCGCCCCCCAACCCCCAGGCACGTACAGCTTGGAAACGTCATCCAGATGCCGCTGGAGGCCCTTCTGAAGGAACTGGACCACAGGCAGCAAGTGCCCCGCCCTGGAAAGAAGAAGTTGTCAGTGTGTGTGTGTGTGTGCGCGCGCGCAGAGAAAGCTTCCCTGTGGCCATGATCAAATGGCTCGGTGACTTGACTAGCAGGTGAAGAGCAAGGGGGAACCCATGTTATACCTGGACTTCAGCCGCTGTCCGTGTGACATAAGTAACTTCTGGGTCCATATAAGGTAAAATTCAAGGTGCCTGGACTCTTCAAAGGAGGCAGCTAAGAACTCAAGCACTTTCTCTACATACAGCTCAGGAAGGGAAGCGCTAACAACATCAACTGCAAAAGAAAAGCCAGGCTCAGTTTGCAAAGAAGTTGCCAGGAAGGATGGACACGGAGTTCCTCTGTATTAGCAGAACAGGGCTGGTGGTCCCGGCTTACTTTCATCCTGTGGCACAGCCTCCAGGGCCTCCTGTGCCAGTTTCCTCTCATTGAGCCGGAAAGCCATGAGGATGGCACGGGTAAACTCCCTCTGTCGTAGTGCCTCACGGATCCGCCCAGGTGTCACACTGGTGTCCAGCTCAAATGGGTCGAAGAGCATCTGGGCATCCAGAGAGAAGATGAGGAGCCCTTCTGTGCTGGTGGCCGCCCAGCAGCGCCCTATGGAGGAGCAAGCAGCATGGGAACTTCCTCAAAACTTGAAAGCTCATTTAGGCCCCACTTCAGAGTGGCTGTCAACAGACTGCAGGCAGACATTCTCCCAGGATTGCGGCTCAGACGCCCACTTCCTCGGGTTGGTCCAGGAGTCAGCAGGCTTCCCAAACAGGGAAGAACAGGACAGACCTGAGCCTTGAAGGCCATAGTTTGTGCTGCAGTTGCTCAAGCTACCCACGCCAAGGGTATACCCACACACTGGGCATAATCAATCAACGGTGACCTATCTTAGACAACCAAAGCTACACAATTGTGTAACAGGGCAGATGGGACAGATCTGGGCCTCAGGCTGTGGTTTATGGACAGCTGGTCTACCTCCCACAATGGGAAGTGAGACACAGGGTGATCACCTTCAAACGTGTCTGACACAGAACGACAACACACCATACCTCACCCTGTCCCCTCCACCAGTGCTGCAGTGTTCAGGACCCTAGACCCTGGCTGCTGCAACAGAGGATACAAACCTAGCAAGCCTCAGGCCTAGGCAG